AGTGAAGAAAATTTACAATTATGCTATAAAATATTTCGTAATTAATAATCGTAAAAAATAATCAAGCGGTACATAAATTCGTGAAAAAATAATTTTAAAAAAATGTACATTTATATAAGAAAAGAAAATGTTTCAAAAGAAAGATATTTTCCGACTAACATCAGATTAATAAGATATTACTTATAAAATTTGAATTTCTTAGATTTGAGTTACGCGTTTACCCTGAGTCGCCAATGTTTGCGGCTATTAGGTGTATGGCCCGATCCATACGTCTCTTTGAATATTTTCCGGCCAAATATAAGATTCCTCATCGTTGTCTGTATCCTGAGTATCTACGTGATCGTGCCGCAGTTGACAAATATGCTTCGTGCTTGGGGCAACGTGAGTCTGATGGTGGAGTACTTAGCCTCCGCCAACTTTTGCTTGATGGCATTAAGCAAGTTAATCGCTACCTGGTATCATGGTGAAAGTAAGTCATTCTTTCACGACAATAAATGTGGATTTAGAATTATATTAACATTTTTTTACAATTTATTAATTTTTATCATTGGTAATAGAAATGTCAAAGCTGTGCACATGTCAAATCTAAGAACGGTCATATTTTTATATAATAATCTTTTTATATAAATTTATTATATTAATTTATTAATATAATAAATAATTATATTAAATAAATAATAAATTTATTGAATTAATTTATTATACTATATTATTAATTTAATTAATTTTTTTTATCAAATTTTAATTGATATTAATACGTTAAATTTGATGGAAGCACTTCGCACACTGATGACATCGGTCGTGACCGACTGGAGAACTTCGAATCCTTGGGAACGAGATACAATGTTGAACATTGCGAGACGCGGCAGAAGTTTAGCATTTAAATGTGGTATAGCTGCGACGTGTACAGTGACGTTTTACGTATCTCTCAATCTCTTGAAGTTCTATCGAAACGTGCACTTACCGCAACGTAATCTCGTCTATCGTTTCTCACATTTCCCATACAACATTCAGAAGAGTCCAAACTACGAAATCACTTTTTTCATTCAACTTTCCGGCGGCGTATATTCGGCCCTCATCAATTGTACGGTAGACTGCTTTGTCTCGATACTTTTGCTGCACATGTGTGCACAGCTGATAAATCTACGAATGACACTTAACAATCTTGTTGGCGAATTAGCCAACAAATCTATTTCGTCTTCGAGATTTAAGGGAGGTCTACGCATGATTGCTATACGACACCAACATCTCATCAGGTAGAAAGGTTTCTTTAATTATCACTATGATGCATTCGCAAGTATGCATTTATATTAGCATGTTATTTAGGAAATATTTCATAATTATTTGTAATTATTATTAAGCGTTTTTCATTTTTTTTCTTATCTTCTTATAAGATAAAGTTTATATGATATTTCAAACAAATATTTTTTTAATAAATATGATTTATGAAAGCTATCAAACTTAAAAATAGAAAAGATTGATAAATTAAATTATCTTATTTAAAAGTATAATTAAACTGTTGTGAAAGATAAGAGATTTATGTTTTAATATATTGAATGCAAATAAAAAATTGACATTATATAAGTAATTTAACATTTTTTAAGGAGTGTCAGGACAATCGATGATTGTTACAGTGCAGTGCTATTTATACATATGCTAGCTGCTACTTTTCAACTATGTCTTGAAACTTTTCAAGTTTTTACAGTAAGTAAGACTACTTATATAAAAATATGATTTACATTCATTTTACTCAAATATTTCCAAGCAAAAACTTATAATAACAACATTTAAAAATATGTATAAGAGAAAATAAAAAATATAATATATACTTATATGGGTAATGTTAAGGCATAATTATACTATTATATGCTCTTATATATACTATTATACATTATTATATTATTATATGTTATTTTATTATTACTATTATATCATTATACTTATGATATTATTATATTATTTGAAATTTCAACTGAAATATATATTATTTTCAGATGATAACCGACAATGTAGAGATATCTCTTATCAAAGTGGCTTTTCTTTCGTTTTACGTCGTTCTTGTGTTGACGCATTTATATATTTATTGCTATTCCGCTGAAAGACTTATAACGGAGGTAATATAATTATTGCATTATAACGCAATTTGTGTAAAACAAAAATGAAATTTCAGAGCACCAGTATAGCGTATGGTGTGTACGAATGCAAATGGTACGATCTACCGGTGAAAGAAGCAAAGGATTTAATGTTTATCGTGTATGGATCTACAATTCCGCTTAGATTAACAGCTGGAAAATTTGGAGTTTTTTCAATAGAAATGTTCGGAACAGTAAGTGTCTGACAATAAGTATAAGAAATACATTTGTTTTTCGCATATGCGTAATTCATATTATAGAAATATTTATTTTTTAATTTATAAAATAAAAAATATTTTATACGGCTTTTATTATGCAAGAAGTGTTTCAGAAATGAGAGACCAAACTATAGACCAGTGCATCTTACATCCATCAATCTTAAATAATGAAAGAAAATAATTACATGAAAACATTCGGAAAAATGCTTTTTTATAAATATTTTATATTAAAATTTTCATTTTAATTCCCATTTAATATACATATGTACAACTTTAACTAATATAATCTAATCTAATTGTATTTTTTATTTTAACTATAACTATATAATTTTATAAAGATGCACTTTGAAATTATACATATATAGAAACAGAGAATAAAATTTATTGAAAAGCGATATATCTTGAACAACGAAATTTTCACAGAATATGCCGTAGAATATATTGGTGAAATATATTGTTAAATATCAAGAAAAATGTAAGATACTTAACGATACATTTTTTATATTCACATTAAATATACATTAGATATGCTATAAGTCTTTTGAATAATGAACGGAACGGAGAAACAGCAGATTTATTTATTACCAATATATTTCACACATACATGAAATATTCAAATAAATTATATTGTTATCTTCATTTCCGAAAATAAAACAATTCTATATTTGATTTTTATTCTGTTTAGACGATAAAAACATCAATGGGATACGTATCTGCGCTGCTGGCAATAAAGGACTAAAGATAATCATATTAAAAATAATACCTCAAATTAATTACGCATAATTAATTAATATTTGCTTTCTAATAATTTAAAAAACAGGTTTATACTTATCACCTGTAACATGATTTTTGCTGTACACATCTATGCGCAACGAATTATTTATTTATCCTACATCTGAAAATGTATTGAAAGAATTAAAGAGATAATTAAAAAGAAGCGAAGATTGCTTTTTTTTCTCAGAAACAAACAAAAAATGTTTACATTTCTAGGCCTCATCAATATAATTACGAGATTATGGATTGTTACAAGAATAAAAACTTTACCTGCCTTATTAGAAACATTTTTATATCAAGATGTACATCAAACGTAATTAATATCTTGGTCAGTTTTTTTATTGTTTTAATATAATATATATATATTTGTTATACTAACACATATAAAAACATAAATGCTTGATTCATTATCAAACATAATAATTAGATGTGCAGATTGTTTTATATTTGTTTGAAAATGACTCAAGTATTTATGTTCTTCATGCGTTATTCAATATTGATAAAATTATTGATGAAATGTTATTAATGATATTATATAAGAAACATTCTATATAAAATAATGCGAAATATTTTACCAATCGCACTTGATAGACAACATTAGCGTTTTCCGTTTCTTATAACTTATAAGATGGTAATAAGGAAAAAATATCATTCAAATGTGCATATAAAGTAGATTTCATTATTCAAAGAACTTATAGCATATCTAATGTATATTGAATGTGAACATAAGAAATTTATCGTTAATGTATACACCTAATCCGATATGCGCTCCTAATAAGTTTCTCTATCTCAAATAATCGCAAATGCAATAATTCAACCTACTACGTGGACTCAAGTTATTTGACATTTCACACACTTTAAATTCTAGTTTATGCCTGTCCGAGTGCAACAAATTATTCGATCAAATGCAAGAAAGAAGAAGATAATATTCTACTGGTATAAAATATTTCTATGTTTTGACACTATCGCAAAATTATAACGTTATATATGTTGCATATATGTATTGTCAGATTTTATTAGCCATCATTTAATAAAATATTTTGTATACTCTCATTCGTCAAGTAAAATTAAAATATAACGCACATTACAAAGAATAAATATTAAAAAAAAATTCGAATCACTTCTTTTAACACAATAATCTTTAAAATGTTAATGCTACATATTATGCAGTTTACAACTTTGTTCTTTTTTAATGCCACAATACACATGCATTAATTTATCATGAAACGATTTTTCACTAACACACACATAATTAATTTTCATTACTATTAATCCTAACTGCATGTATATCGAAACATTTTATAACATACACTAAACAAATTCAAGCATCGAATGACAATATTTCAATATTTTTCCCTAAATAATAATTTCAATCATAACATGTAACTCCTAAAATTTTATCGTTAAAATATTTATTTATTGACAAATTCAATCGTGTAAAATTTGTATTCTCTTCTTTTTCCGCTTCAAGTAATATTATATTTTTTTACTATTTTTTTATAAATGCTTTTGAATAAATGTACGCATGTGTATTTTCCTGTATCTCTTTTTCTTCAAGTAACAATCATAATTTAGTCATTAAGACGTTTCAATACACAACACTATTTATACGAAGAGCCACTAATGCAAAGTCCGTAATATTTTCTTTCTAGAGACATTAAGTTCGAAATATATTCCACCTCTTGGGATTTTTGCAACATTAAATTTTCTCAGTCTATAGTCGAAAAACAACTGCTGTGATTCACATCGTACAATTCGGCGCATGAGAATTATTCATATTGCTGCCGATTATTATCCGGAAGAGTTTACAGGCATATGACAGATGGTTGAATATTTTGTGTACTGAGCAAGCGCAAAATCAGGACGGTTTGGTATAATCGCGAAGAGGAATCAGTCAAACAATAATTTTTATTCAGTGAACATCAATGGCTGTCAATAAAGGTAAAAAAAAAGATAATAAAATTTTACTCAAAAGAAATCGTAAAAAAGTTCACATTATAATATTCTATAAAAAATATAATCGCGTTATGTGTAAAATATAATTGTATAATTATAATTTAAGATTTCATTAAAATCAAAATTTTTTCTTTCTCTAAGTTTCATGAAATGAGATAAATCACGATAAGATTAATTATTATTAAATTATATTAACATATACTATCCACATAATACAAAAATAATATCATTTTAAATTATCAAAAAAATTAATAATAAAATGCTTCCAACTTATTAAACGACTTGCTTTTAATGGAACAGATTATTCTGCATATTCTGAATATATGTGCCATTATTTTCTAAGCCTTATATTATTTGATATGTTATTTTGTATTAAATTTTGTTTTCTGATTTGCTTCTTACATTTACTTTTCTTATTAATATTAAAATATTTTGTTAGTAACTATTTCTTCGATAATTGTTATATAATGCATGATATATTTATTATTTTACTAAATAGAAATATCGTATGATGACTTGTAAAATAACATTTTGCACGTGATCCATTGTTTTTTAAATGAAGAGAGAGTATATGTTAATAATTTATTACAAAATAACTCATAATTTTTTGCAAACAGTCTATACACAGATCTACAAAATTTAACATAACGTAAAAGTTTGTCAGCAAATATTAAACGCTAGCAAAGGAACTCCTTTTGAAGTAAATACTGATGATTTAAATGTTTTTCAATGACAAGATTAGATATGGTGCAGAAATATATTGTTTCTTCATCGTTTTTTCTATAAAATAAATTTATAGAAATTTTAGCTTTTATAAAATGAACGAATAATTAAAACAAATTTGTATCAAAATAAAATAATACAAGATTTTGTGTGTAAAGAGATTTCTTGTGGAAAGTTTAAACTGTATGTGTGGATAGAATATAACTATGTAAAAATAGTGAAATATATACACAAAAGAAATGTTAGAAAACAAGAGGATAAAATATTTCGTCTAAATTAACATTATAAGCAATATATTCTCTAAAATTTTGATTTCTCAGATTTAAGTTACGAATTTAACTTGAGTGGCTACTGTTTGCGGATAATAGGCATATGGCCCGATTCACGTATGTCATTGAATGATATTCGTTTTTCAAACGTAAAATTCATGTTCGCTACGAGTTGTATAGGTTTATATCTATTCACGCCGCAAATAATAAATGTGTTTCGTGCTTGGGGCAATTTAACACGAATGGTGGAACTCTATATCCCCGCAAATTTCAGTTTAGTGACAATCTGCAAGCTGTGTGTTACGAAATATTACAGAGACAGTAAGTTTTTATTTTGGAGCAATCAAAATATCCGTATATGTAGATTTATTTTTACTATAAATAATATAAAATGAAGAGATCTTTTTTTAATCTAATAAGTCATTATATCCCATACAGCACAAAATATGTTTTAAACCTTTCAAAAATATTTCCTAAAAGATAAAATAATTCTCGAAAATATTTTTAAAATGTTTCTATGTCTGCTTTTTCATGTTTAAAAAATATTTTTAGAAATATTTTTAAATATAGATTTTAAACTAATATTTTAAAAACATTTATCAAATATTTAAGAAAATATTATCTGAGCGATAAAGAACATTTTTAAATATATTTTTAAAAGTTTTTAAAATATTCTAAAAAATATTATTACAAAAATTTTTTAAATCATTTTAAAGTATTCCTAAATCCATTTTAAAATGTTTTTATGCAATATTTTATAGCAATATTTAAAAATATTTTTTGAAAACTTTCATAATATTTTGTGCTCTATGGGGTGTATAATTATTATATATAATTATTTTGTTTTTATATAATATAAAGACAAATTGCTGTTGTGCACTTTACGCTAATAATAATGTAATTACATATAATGTTATTAATAATAATGTAATTATTTAATCTTTAAGAACTTCAAATAATAATGGCATCGATCATGAACGATTGGATGACATCGAAGACCGACTGGGAACGAAATACGATGTTAAGGGTCGCAAAACGTGGCAGAATCTTATCCTTTAAATACTTCGTAGCCGCGATGGGCACAAGTATATTTGCCATTTGTTTTTATCTCCAGGCGTTCTTTAAATCCATGAATCAACCTCGACGGATTCTCGCCTATCGATTCGATTATATTCAAAAAAGTCCGAATTACGAAATCACCTTTCTTATGCAAATCCTCAGCGGCTTGTTCTCGGTTTTCAGCACTTATTCCGTCGACAGTTTTGTCTCAATACTCGTGCTGCATATATGCGCACAACTGATAAATCTACGAATTACACTTGGCAAATTGGTCGAGCAAGTGACCGAGAATTCGATATCCTCCTTGACATTTATGGAAGGTTTAAGCACAATCGTTAAACGACACGAGTGTCTCATCAGGTACGCATCATCGAGAAGCTTTTGGCGTATATATAAGGTGTCCCATAAGAAATTGCTGAAACTGATCAGCTGTTATTTTTTAATATACCCATACAGCACAATAGTATATTGTGTATCAAGTGCGGAAAGTTGACAATTGGTCACTTGATGGCACTTGATACACATACTATTTTGTATTGCAAGTGGCTGCTTTCGACGCGTTTTATGTGCGCGAGGCGACCGATCGCACGCCGCCATCTTGCCGAGGCACGGTGGGGGAATAGCCGGTTTCAATACATTTCCTACGGCTTGAGCCGTATACAATGACTTTTAACGCGGCTCAGCCGTAGATAATGGCTTTGAAACCAGCTTATTCACCGCGTCGCCGCTAGGGAAATCGGCCGCTTTCGGCACAGAAAACATGCACCGAAAGTGCCACATTGCCTGCACGTGTAATACAAAATATTATGAATGTTTTCAAAAAATATTTCTAAATATTTCTATAAAATATTGCATAAAAACATTTAAAATGGATTTAGAAATATTTTAAAATAATTTAAACGTCTTTTGCGATAACATTTCTTAGAATATTTTTAAAAACTTTTAAAACTTAAAAAGTTTTTTTAGTAAACTTTCCTTTTTTCGACACAATTTTTATTTTTCAATAACTGCATATATTTAAAAAATTTACAGCTGATTAGTTTTTCGCAATTTCCTATGGGACACCTTGTAGGTCATTTATAGTACTCTAAAGGAGTGTCTGTGTAAACAAGAGCAGATAAATCTGCTACGAAATACAAAAATTTATACAAATAAATATATCTAATAAAAACAGACTTACACAATACAGATAAAAAATCATCACCAGTTAACATATCGGAAATCGAATTCTCTTAAAGATCTGAGTAATTGAAATTATGTTGTTTTTTAAACACACTAAAGAACTAATTCAATTTGTCTTATAATATTAGACTTATATAATATAAATAAATGTAAAAGTCGAACAAAATTTTCTATATGTATAAAATGTAGAATAAAATTTTGCAAATTTGTATATATTAAGATTTTCTAATAATAAGTTGATATTGTAGTAAATAATGAATACAAATTTTTAAGGACTGCAAAGACAATCAACAAATGCTACAGCACAGTATTATTTATACATCTATTTGGCGCCATTCTTCAGTTATGTTTAGTAACTTTTCAAGTTTTCACGGTAAGTAAAAAAAATTTGCACATTTATCTTATTTCGCGTATTTTATATTAAAAAAGAATAAATACATATAAAATTTAATTTAATTTAATTTCAATAATTGACACTCTTTCTTACTACATAATATTATATAATATCATCGTATTATATAATATGTTATATTGCATTATATAATATAGCTTATTAATATATGCAATTAGTAAAAAATGTGCGTCAAAAATATATTATTTTCAGATAATAACAAACAATATAAGTTTACCTATTATCAGGATGATTTTCCTCGCGTTTTACATTTACCTTATATTGATGGAATTATATTCTTATTCTTACGCCGCTGAGGTGCTTGTGCAAGAGGTAAAACAGTGATTGTACAATATTGTACATTAACGCAACTTGAGTAAAATAATAATATAATTTTCAGAGTACTCGTCTTGCATACGGTGTGTTTGAATGCAAGTGGTACAATCTATCAGCGAATGACGCGAAGGCCTTAATGTTTATTGTACATCGATCTAATATTCCGCTTAGATTGACAGCTGGAAAATTCGGAAACTTTTCGATGGAATTATTTGGAACAGTAAGATATACAACAAATATATATATATATATATATTTATATTTATATATATATATATATAATTTAATATATATATATATATATATATATTAATTAATATATATATATATATTTTTTTTTCTAATCGTTATACAAAATATTTTTGTTATATAAAAATAAAATATTTTATTTTTGTTTTATTAAAAATTGTATTGTTTATTGTATATATTGCACACGCGTAAATAAATATGATAATTTATCATTATTATTTTTCGTAAAAATAAGATCAGTTTCATCTGTAATTTTTGTTTTAGGCAGTAAGATCGTCAGTGGGATACGTATCTGCGTTGCTGTCAGTTACATCATAATGAGAGATTATTGAACTGATTCTATATATGCTGACTGATAATTAGATGAGTTTTCAAATAAATTTATATGCACGCTTGTAATTTATATTTACCAAGCAAATACATTTTTGTGTAATCAACAAAACGCTGTATTTATTTTCTCTGTTGAGAAATATAATAAATTGAACATATACACTATACATATATGGATTTATTTGCACAAATATTTCCACATTTGAATTAAAACTATTATTAACCGTAAACTATTTATTTTTATCTGAATATAAACATAATTTTTAATAATTTAAATTTATTAATTTTACAATTTCCAAACAAATGGACTCATTTTTTTATCTCGTTAAAAATAACATTTATTAATCACATTAAAAAAAGTAACAATTCTATTAATTATATATATTTTTGCAATATACGATACTTTTACGCATAAAAATTAATTTCTTATCTATTCTTATCGTGTGCGTCATGCATATATATATCATCAGTCTTAAAAATTTAATTTAAAACTCTCAACTATAATATTATGTATATATACATATATACATATATTATAAATTTTATATCACTTCTCCCACATTTTTTACAACTTACGCAAATAACACCAAATAAATTTAATAAATAAAGTTTAGAAAAGAGTTTAGAATTTAATATCCTTTTCTTCTTCCTGTAATCTCTAAGTGACATTTATGGGTTCTAATTTCTTTGAAAGCAAGTTTCATTTATATAACTAAATGTAAGAACATTATAAAATTTTTATAAGAAGCGATATAGCTTGTTATTATAAAAACAATATTGCAATTTATAAAAAAAATATTACTTCTTTGCAGCATGTGTCAAATTTCCATTAAGGGATACCGCAATATATACGGAAAATAGTATTTCGGTCAAATTAATTTCAATTGTGGAAATTGGAATTTTATGATACCCTAATTAAAAGGATTCCATAAATATGAATAACGCAGAATTATAATATAGCTACAAAAACATATCAAAGATGGTGAGTATCATGTTACCAATTTTATTGATTAATGTGACTTTTGTTACATTAATTTAATAAAATAAATATTATAATTATTTTTCTATTTTCTATTTTTCTATTTTTAAAGAAAGTACTATTTAAAAAGCTGCTTGCTTAAATTGTACATTTATATTATATTATACGTATTATATTATTTCAATTTGTTCTTGACAAAAATTAAACATAATAAACATCATGCTATACTTCCCAATAATAATTTATATCTAAATTAATGCTAAATAAGAAATATAACATAAAATATCTTAAGTGTATGATTTAAGCAACTCTCCCCTAATTATAGGAATCTAGTATATAGTATAAATTTAGAATAATTTTAAAATTAGATAAAAATCCAATATTTTTATTCTGTTTTTGTTTTGATAAAGTTATTAATGAATCTCGTTAATATTAACGAATAGGAATTTACAACGATTATAATGATAAATTTATTTATACCCCAAATAATACAAATTTTTGAATAATAATATTTTAGTCTGTTAGCATTCACGAGTTTATGGAATAAGGAAAAAAAGCCATTAAATTGCCTATTAAGCATGTATTTTATTATAAAAACTTAAAATACGTAAACACAATTTGAAGCAATTAATATATTCAAATGAAAATTGTATGAAGCAATTAAGTTTCTTCTTTTGGGACGAAATATTGTATTTCTTCGCCCTGACAACACTACTCCGAAATTACATATAATGTCTCATACGTATCTATTATTAAATTTGATAAACTGTCACTTAATATTATATTGAATTAATTATAATAATAATAAATTTTGTATGCTAATTTATTCAACACCGTTAAAAATATAATACGCACACTATATACACAGTATGATAATCATTACAAAAATAATTTTTGAAATTAATTTGCACTAATAAAAGAACAATATTTCATTAATATCATAAAATAATTTTTCACAAACACATCACCAATCAAAGAACAATTTTTCACTAACATTATATAATATTGGCATTATATACATATATCGAAGCACTTTTGCAACACTCCATGATTTTCTCAAGTCGAATAATAATCGACAATTTTTACAAACATTTTTTATTGTTTATTCTCTTTCAAATTTTGTAGACACGAATCTTTAATGCTTATTAACAAATTCTTCCCTTTAATAACATATTTGCATTCTTTTTTTTTCGTTTTAAATCCACAATATTCCGAGGGAATATTCTCCTTTTTTATTCTTGTTATGAATGCATCTGACACATGTTTCTCTGAACTTCTTTTACATCCTCTTTTTTCCTTCGTGGCAATCATAATTTAATCATTAAACTGCTTTGAAATGCACAGCTGTTCGTAGAAGCCACTGATGAAATAATGGTGTGTTCTCTTTCTGGAGGTGAATTTCAAACGAATCCCACCTTAAAATTCTCTACAATGTGAAACCCGAATCCCCTCCTTTCTCTTGCTTATAGTCCAAAAGCAAGTGCTGTTTTCACAATGTACGATTCAGCGCATTGTGGTTGTCATGGTAGTTACTTACTACATATATATTACTGTTGTATTCGAAAGGGTTTACAAACATATTGGTAAATGTTAGTCGCTGAATGTACTGAGCAAGCGCAAAATCAAAGCGGTTTGATATAATTGTAAAGAGCGATGCAGTCTAACGATAATTCTTATTCAGTGAACATCAATGAATGTTAACAAAGGTAGAATATATCTTGGAAAAATAGTAAAATTGTACACACTACAATATTCTTCAAAAAAGATCATCGTATTGTATATAAAATATAATTGTATAATATCAAGTTTATTTTCAAAATCAATTTTTCTTTCCAAATAAGTGATAAAACTTTGCATTTTAATTTCAACTTTATACAAAAAAATCTCGATCACGATTAATCATTATTAAACTACTATCTACGTGATAAAAAATTAATATAAAATGTTTAAATTAACAAAATAAAATTAATAAAATGTTTATAAATAAATCGCTCATTTAATTAATTGCTCATTAAATAAACTGCTGTTTTTATTTAACAAATTATTCTGCACATCTCGGGAAAATTATGTGTTATCTTTATTATTTTTTATATCTTGTATACTAATTTGATATATATATTACGATTTGTATATTTTATATTTTATTGTTTATTTTTACATTATATTTACTTTTTATTAATATTAAAAAATATTTTTTTCTGTTAAAATAATTATTCTTCCGGTTGATATTCAATACAATTTTTATTAAATGTTTACTAAATAAAAAAATATTTTGTACAAAAAGTGTATAATAATATTTGCACATTGTGCAAATAAAATAAAAGTTTTCTATAAATGAAGAGAAATTCACTTGATAATTCGTCGCAAAGGCTTACAAAACTGATAATTTTTTGCAAACAGTCTATAGACTTTTCATAGAACTTCATGTTTCACTAAAGTTTGTCAGAGTGGATATGAAACTTTGTACGCCAGTAAAAAATGTTTGCTTTCGACATACAGATTGAATCATAGTATTTTTAATGGTAAGATTAAATGTGACGTATAAATGAAATGATTGAGTTACATCAATCGAATAATGATTTCACTCATGTCATAAACAGAATTATCGATAATTTTAAACCTCTTAAAAATATAATCAAAACCATTTTTCGTTAGTATAATAATATAAAATCATGTAAGTAATCTTGTTAAAAATAGAGATTTAAAAATATATTATTGATAAAAAATTTTAAATCTTATCTCTTAATAGTATAATATTATTTATATTTACTTTGTCTATAGTCTGTTATATAATATTAACTTTTCCAATATAAACTTTTTAAGAAAAATGTTAAAAAATGTCGTAATTTATAACATTTAAAATAATGTAATGAAAGGCTCCGAAAAATGTAATAATAATGAAAATAAAGCTATAGGAACCAACTTATTAAATCTCGTGTTATTGAATTTATTATGTTTTTTTTTCAATTAATTAACAAATACAAAAATATAAGGGGGAACAAATTTTAAATATAATTTATTAAAAATATATAAAAATAATTGATACTATAATAATTAATTATATGTAATTATAAAATATTAAAAAAATATCTCGATAAATTAACGACGTATAAATATACATGTGAAAAAATTATATTTACATATTAAAAAAGAAATTTGTAAAATAATATAAAAAAAGTTTTAGCTAAATTATCATTATTAAGCAATAATATCTCTTCTAAAATATGAATAATTTGTCAGATTTAAATTACGCTCTTATATTGAGCCGACAATGTATGCGGATATTAGGCATATGGCCCGATCCGAGTGTCTCTTTGAATGTTTTTCGTCGATCAAAAATAGGATTCATGCTTGCTACGTTTATTATGGGTATTTATGTAATCACTCCGCAAATAATAAATGTGATTCGTGCGTGGGGTAACGTGAGTCGAATGGTTGAACTCTTTCTTGCCTGCAATTTTAGCTTGATGGCAATATCCAAGATGGCTATTACCAGATATCATGGCAAGAGTAAGTTACTATTTTTCATTAATAAAAATATCAAATATATTTTATCGTGATCTAAATAATAAAAATGATATAATAGACTATAGACAATAAGGAATTAATAATTATTATATTTTAATATAAACCTTCAAGTTGAATTTTCCTTACTAAAATCTAAACCCATACAGCACAACAAGATTGCAGCAACATTGTGGCAACATTTTATTACAATATTACAACATTGCATAAACATTGTGAAATGTTGTGGCAATGGTAAAATGTCCGCTTTTAGAAACATTCTTTTATAACATTGCAGCAATAATGCAATAAAATATATATGTAATATTACTATTAGATTATTAGAAATTTAGAAATGTGCCAAATACATGATCGGACTGAATGGTCTGTACCTAATATTTTTTGCGTAAATTTTATTTTCATATTTCTGAAATGTTGCTGCAACGTTGTTTAAACTATATTGCAAATTCATGCCTATATAATTTTTCTGCAATATTGCTATGCAATGTACAATATTGCAATGTTGTTGCAATATTGCTGCAAACTTGTGTACTGTATAGGAAGCTGCTATTGAATAGCAATTCTTATACAAAGATAATTTGCTTTGTTAGTTCAGATTTATAATAATATAAGTCATGTTTAATTTCAAAGAACTTCGAATGCTAATAACATCGATTATGACTGATTGGATGACTTCGAAGAGCAACTCGGAACGAAATACAATGTTGAAGCTAGCAAGAAGCGGCAGAAGTCTATCTTTTGGATATTTGATAGCTGTAATGGGCACACTCATGCTTGGATACTTTTTACGTTTCATGATTTTTTTAAAAACTCTTCATCAGCCTCGACGACAACTTTACTATCGGTTCGACTACATTCAAAGCAGTCCTTATTTCGAAATCACATGGTTCTTGCAAATATTCGGCGCCACGTATGCAGTTCTCGGCAATTATAGCGTTGACAGCTTCATCTCGACACTCGTGCTGCATATATGTGGACAACTAATTAATCTACGAACCACACTCAACAATTTGATCGACAGTTTAGTCAATAGATCGATATGTTCCTCGAAATTTAGAAAAGGCCTAACTGCGATTGTTATACGACACGAGTATTTAATCAGGTACGTTCGATAACTTTCAGCGTATTATGTAATATTTTAACATATTTTGTATTACACGTACAGGCAATGTGGCACTTTCGGTGCATGTTTTCTGTGCCGAAAGCGGCCGATTTCCCTCGCCGCCATCTAGCGGCGACGCGGTGAGTGAATAAGCTGGTTTCAAAGCCATTATCTACGGCTGAGCCGCGTTAAAAGTCATTGTATACGGCTCAGGCCGTAGGAAATGTATTGAACACGGCTATTCCCCCACCGTGCTGCGGCAAGATGGCGGCATGCTATCGGCCGCCTCGCGCACAGAAAACGCGCCGAAACAGCCACTTTGCCTGCATTTGCAATACAAAATAGTATGTGTATCAAGTGCGGATTGACAATTGTTCACTCGTGTGAGGTGGTCCCCCGCACTCGTGACCAATTGTCAACTTTCCGCACTTGATACACAATATACTATATAGACAAGAAGAAGCAAGAAGATAAATGTAAAATAATAGATATTCTTTAAGATTTGTGTGGCTATAATGACTTAAAATTATCAAACTTAAGTATATATAATAAAATGAAATATATATAGTGATGAAATAATAAAATTACAATTTTACCTTATAAATTGAAAATTCGAAAGAACATTTTTCAAGATTTTTCAACCGTGTAAAATTTTCTAATAATAAGATGAGAATATATATAAATATATAATGTATCAATTTTCAAGTAATGCAAAGACGATCGACAATTGCTACAGTTCAGTATTGTTTATGCATATGCTAGGTGCATCTTTACAATTGTGTCTTGTAACCTTTCAAGTTTTCACGGTAAGTAAATTTGGGTGTGTATGTATATAATTTCTATATTATATTATAAAAACATTATATATAAAATTAAAATGTAATGTCAAATTTAATTAAATTTAAAATCAAATATAATTATATAAAAATAAAATAGAAAAAATAAAAAATATTATTTTTCAGGATATTATTGTACATCGCATTCGAATTATATAAGTACGATATTTATCATGTAACTATTACACTAAAAATGTATTATTTTCAGTTGTTAATGGACAATTTGAACGTTTCTCCTATCAAAGTATTTTTTCTCGCGTTTTATATCTCTATGGTGTTGACGCAATTGTATGTTTATTGTTACGCTGCCGAAAGACTCTTGGAAGAGGTAAAGAAATTATGTATATTAACTATACTTATGCAAAACAAAAATATAATTTTTTTAGAGCACCAATATGGCGTATGGCGTGTATGAATGCAAATGGTACGATATATCGCCAAAAGATGCGAAAGACTTAATGCTTATCGTATATCGATCTGCGATTCCGCTTAAATTGACAGCTGGAAAATTTGGCACTTTTTCGTTAGAATTGTTCGGAATAGTAAGATATATAACTACGAGAAAAACTACATTGCTTTACATGCAGTCGCTAAACAAGAATAACCATTTTTTTTATTTATAAAATGCTTTGTTCTTATATATTTTTTATATTATAATATTATTTATATATTTTCTTTCTTTATACGATGATCCATCATTATTATCATTCACAAAAAAATTTACATTTTATCTATAATTTTCACTCTATTTAGGCGGTAAAAACTTCGATGGGATATTTATCTGCGTTATTAACAATAAGAGAATAAAGGAAATAATATCGAATTAATTCTATAACAACTGTAACTATATCGATTTATCATTGATTATATCGAATAACGAAAGCAATGAAGATTTACATGCACTGCCCCTGTAACATCACTTTTATTGAATAAACATACATTTGTGCGCAAGAAAATTATTTATTCGTTTGTATCAATTAGCATATCATGAAAAATTGAACAAATATGATTATAAGTTATATAAATTTTAAAGAATAGCAGTTATTCATATTTTTTAATGTATTATTTGTATAACATTTACTCCAATCTTACATTACAAAAATATTTCACTTAATTAATATATAATTTATTAACATTGCGTAACCATTTTTCTTTGGCTAAAAAAATTTAAAACGATATAAAAACTAAACAATTTTCTATATCTGATCACTTTTCCAATACAAATATTAATCATTTATCCAATTATATGGTTCGATCGATGGATCGATATGCTTTTCATTATCCTCTGTTACTATCCTTTACACATTTTTAATAGTAAATTCAAGAAAACTATGTTATTATTATTATAATATAAGCAAATCTATATCTGATCACTTTTTCAAGACAAATGCTAATTATTTATCAAATCATATAATTCGATCGATGGATCGATATGATTTTCAATGCCCAGGAGAGACACTATAGATTTTAATATATCTATTTTTAATACAAAGTATTATTTTTTTCCTAGAAAAAATTAACTCCGTAAAAATATTTGTAGCAAACCGTGCAAAATATATATACAAAATATATGGGGATTTTATATTTTTATCAAGTAATCAATGTAGCAGTAATAATATGACATAAAATATGTGCTAGATATTTTTAATATCAACTACTAATCATATAGAATGTATACAATGACCATGAGAGTTCCATGTATCATCACGATTTGCTTGAGAAATTTTTCGAGAGAGGGAACCTTTGTATTGTAACATTGCTTTCGAAATAATTCGTATTCAACATTAATATATTATTTTAAAATAATATCAATATAATATGATTTAATTAATATAATATAATATTATTTTATTTAAGAGTTTAATAATTATTTTATCATTTTTTATTCGTTCGATAATTAGAAATATTGATAGACTGCTGTATATAACTCAGAAATGTTTAATAATTTCAAAACAGTAGTAATAGTAAACAGTGATACAAACGCTTGTGAAAAATGTAAAATATTTCAAATTTTCTGTTTTGTTAAAACTAATTTTTAAAAAATATTTCATCAAATATTCGAATCTCTCTCATTTTTATTACAACTACTATTGCTTATATTCACAAAAAATATTAAAAATAATATACTTCAAATAAATTATTTAAAATAAAAATTGTGTATTACATTGAAAGATATTCATCCCGGTTAATAATCATTTTATTCTTCTGATTTGATAAGAGAAGTAGAATATCATGTGTTGTCGGATACACACATAGTGTTACATTCCTTAATATAACATTCTCAAAGAGCATGCGTCGTCAAGACTCGCATGCGCCTGAAGATAGATTCTTTCAGTTACTTTAACGTCGTTGTCGCGAAAACCTCAAGAGATGTCGAAGGAGGTCGGTTTCAATTTGTTCTTTCAAAAAATCTCTCCCTCTAAAAATACTTCGTCAATTTTAAAAAAATCAAAATATGCAAGAATTTCATAAAGCTAATCGAAATGACAATGAGCGTTCTATTAAGATCATTAAGAATTTATTCGATTATTGCATATACATATATAATCAAGTTTCTCGTCAAAGATTAATTTTTAAAATACATCTTTTCTTTTTCTATTCGTTAATTTATTTTGATCTAATTGGGATAAATATTTTACCTATTCATATCTTTCAATCAATTAATTTGACTTCTTTCTTTTTAATATTAACGTCAGAGTGCCACAAAGTGCTACCAAACTCCAGAAAGAATTTCGCAATTATTGACATCTTATCTTTATGTCTAAAAAGGTAGACTTCGAATACGCGCACGGATGGAATCGTTATACTATGATGTTTATGGGAATTTGGCCGGAGAGTAGAAACCTCGGTCAAGTTTCTAGCTACAGGCCGATAATTCCAATTCTAACAATGTTTTGTTTCGTATGCGTGCCACAGTCGACCAATTTATTCTTCATCTGGGGCAATTTTGACTTGGTGGTAGAAAACTTCTCCATGGGAAATATAACGATTACGATCTCGATGTTAAAGATCATCATATTTTGGTCAAGCAGTGAATGTAAATATGAAAATGTTCATACCAAAAAAGTATCACCAACCTTAATTTTTCAAGACGGGATACACGGAGAGAATTTTCTCTTAGAATTTGCTCTGAAAATCATGCTAATCGTGGGATAATATGATATTGGAAGAATTGTATAAGAGTTTCTCTGATTAATATTTATTACGATAAAAAATATTAATATGTAAAATTAATCGATATTTTATACCATATTTAATTGTGGTATAGATATTAATATTTTTATTGTGGTAAATATTAATCAGAAAAACTCTTATAAAATTCTTCCAATACCATATTGTCCCAAAATTACCATGATTTTTAGAGTAAATTTTTGTGTCGGAATTTGATATATATATCTATAGATTTTTATAGAGAATATAAGTCGAATATTTGAATAAATTAAAGGCGCGTTGTAGATATTTTTTCAATGTTTTTACATTAAAAAAAATATATTATCACACATATATTTGGAGCCTGATGTCGCAATAGAGAAAGTATACCGAAATAGAGTCCGACTTCGTATAGAATTAATATTTCCAATTTTGTCTACGTTCTGAAAAAGCCCTGAAGATACTTATGTCGAGCATGAGGAGGGACTGGAGTGTGACTGTGGGTAAACGAGATCGCAAGCTAATGTCAGACATAGCCAGGGCCACCCGAAAGCTATCGATAAGCAGCACCGTGATGGTCCAAATAGTGGTGCTGACCTACATAATGTTTCGATTCATCAACATCCGACATACCGGTCGTCAGTTGTTCTTTCGCGCATATTTTCCTTACAACACGAGCAGCAGTCCTTTCTACGAACTGACCTTCCTAGGACAGTTGATCGCCACTACGTACGCGGCGTCTACTTACACAGCAGTTGACACTTTTATCGCCACTCTGGTGCTTCATATATGCGGTCAATTAACGAATTTACGTCGCGAATTGATGAATCTACCTGACCGCACGCGACCGGAATTCCAGACAGAGTTGAGGAAGATCGTGAGGAAACACCAGTATATCAACAGGTGAGAAATCTATACTAGAAATGAGATGCAAGAGAGCATAATATACTTTTTTGGATAATCACCTTCTGACTTATTAATAAGAGCACAAATCAGCACAGTGAAATATTTGACAGGTAAAAGATTTGACATTTGGGAAAACTTCAAACGCGCCAAAAAAGAAGTGAAAAAAGTGTATCAAATTAAATAAGTTGGATGCCAGTGAAATTAAAATCAAGGTTGATATTTCTTAAACGACCAACTGGCTAATAATGAAAATATCATTATTAAAGTCCAGGTGTGATAAAATCAAATTAAATAAGTTGGATGTCAGTGAAATTAAAATCAAGGTTGAACAATTAAAATTTTTAATATGTTGCTGTAAAAATAAAATAATTTTATCATCATTAGCCAGTTGAGCGTTTAAAAAATTCAACCTTAAAAAATAACTAATCTTTCGATATTTTAAAGTAAACTATTCCATTTGTGATATTTGCTCGTAGCTAAATGTTGCGTTATTTCAAGATATATTGGATTTTTATGCAAAATATTATATTATAAAATATATGTTTATAAACTTTCCGTATGATTAAAGGTATCGAAATTAATGATATTTATTTAAGAGAAATAAGTATGATTGAAATTTAAAGCTAGAATTTCATGAAGAAATACTCTTATCTTCACACAAGTGCATTTTCCATAAGATTTGCAGAAACAATCGAGAACTGTTTCAACATGATGCTTCTGATACAAATGTTGGGATGCTCGTTGCAACTTTGTTTCCAGTGTTTTCAAGCGTTCATGGTGAGCCGCACAGAGAAAGGACAGATAATCTTGTTAAAAATTAAAAAAAACAAAAAAGAGAAAACTAATTGGATTATCGTCACAATCCTTCATTATTTTATAGTCGATATTTGGCGAAATAAACGAACTTTTCATCTTTCAAATCATCTTCTTAATTATCTACGTGAGTTATATATTGCTGCAGTTGTACCTGTACTGTTACGTCGGCGAAAGATTACTTATCGAGGTAACGCGATTATAATTTCATAATTTTTAATAATGTGTTTAACGTAATTAATCATTTCTTGTTTATGTGTTAATGTAAATCTTATATATCTCGGTAATTTTTCTATGTATATTTTTTTAAAATTACGTCTACATCTCGGATCAAATCCCCGAAAAGAAAAATTAAGTAAAATCTAAATATTTGTAAATAATATTATCTCGATGAACACAATCAAATATATTTTTCGTTCAGTAAAGCATTACAATAAAGTAAAAAGCATTACAATATTAACATTTTTTAGTAGAACTTTATTCTCGTCTTTTTTTAGAATTCTATTCTAAATACTATATTCTAGAAAGCGAAATTGCTTCGTCCTGACAATGACATATTATGTTCATTAACTGCACGCTTTCGTATTAAGGCAATCTGCATGACGCCTTTAACGTTAACAAGCGAAACCAGTATACGTTTTTTTTCTCACAACGCTTTTTGCTATTTTATTTGATATATTATTTACTGACTTTGAAAAAATGCTCATCTAGAAGAATAGATGAATATACACGCAAACAATAAACTGTAAAAAAACCGAACAACAAAATATTTAGAATTTTAATCAAAAAGTGAAAATTTCAAATGTGTAAGTTAATTGTTCATTTTTTTATCTATAAAAATGATAGAAATAATCTATTATTTTATAAACAGAAGTATTAATTTTGTGTAATATTATTCTGAAATCTTATATAAGGCAAAACATTTATTTATTTTAATAATTTATAATTTATATACGTGTACAATATGAATTAGTAAAATCAAAAACTGTAAACGATCGATAAACATGATTTTTTTATAATGTAAAATATAGAAGAAGATACACAAAGTACTAATATCGGTAATATGCATCGATCGAAAAAGAAAGAAAATTATATATATTGTAAAAAAAAATGATTTTGCCACAAAAAAATGAGTATGTGAGCTTTCTGTGAATTTATATATAATTTTCTATGATAGGGTTTTCTAATTTTCGCGTTTATACATATTTAGTGCGAGCGCTTCTTCATTCTGCGTTACTATAACTCATGTTTTCTCCTTGGGAATCCTCTGAATTTGACATTCCAGAGCACGAAAATAGCATACGCGGTGTATGACTGCAGTTGGTACAACTTGTCAGCGTGCGAAACAAAATCGCTAATAATCATCATGTGTCGTGCTCGGTCGCCATTACACATCACCGCCGGCCGGTTCTGTTCCTTCAACCGAGAACTCTTCAGCGAGGTATGAAAATATAACATAGCTATCCATAATTGTCAAAAATCATTTTGTTCTTTGTATAATTTTAACACATTTATATGCGTACACTGTAAAAAAATATGTAATATATTACACAAAAATATGTAAAATTACATAAATAATAAATGTAAAATTACATGATAAATAATGAAAAGGTAAAGATTTCTATTATTTATTGTGTAATTTTACACTTATTATTTATGTAATTTTACATATTTTTGTGTAATATATTACATATTTTTTTACAGTGTACATATAGACACACTGAAAAAATCCATGTATTTTTACATGGAAATTACTTGTTCACAATTGGAAAATTACTTCCTTAACTGTAATTTATTTTTCCATTTCTTTTAAAGTAAAAATACATATTAATGTAAAAATACAAGTAAAATATAGGTAAAATTACTGTTTTTATGCAAAAATCATATGTAATTTTAAATTTACTATTTTTACTTTATTAGAACTTTATTTTATAAGTATTTTTTTATAACATTATTTAATAGCATTTCCTATGTGTAATTCCATGTTCAGTCAAATATTTTTAATCTCGAAAATATTTAAGAACATATTTCATATAAAATTACATATAATATGTAATCTTCCATATAAGTAGCAATATTGCATGATATTTTTTTCAGTGTACTATATGAATGCACATATTTTATTTTTCATTATTTTTCATAAAAAGCTTTGAATTCTGTTCTATTTCAATATACGAAAAAAACGTATAAGCTTTTTGTCAAACATCAGAATTATAATAAGTCATACTAATTGAAAATGTATTAATATTCAAAAAGTTATCTTCAAGATCAAAATCGATATCGTACCTCAATTTTAGGTTCTAAAGAGATCAGTGACTTATATGTCGTTTCTCTGCGCAATGAACACTTTGTAGAGCGAAAACTAAATGATTTAATAATGCAAAAGAAAATCGATATCAACTGTTTATTAAAATTATATATCAGTTATAATAAAAGCAATGTATGTTTTCCAGCCATTTGTAAAATGTATAGACTCTAATAAAGTAGTACAAGATAAAGTTAAATGTTAGATTATAAAAAAAATAAATATATAAATTATATAATGCAACGCAGAAATGTTTTTATATTACAAGATTTTAAGAATTTCTAAAAAAAAGAACTACTGGTAAAAATTCTTATTTACACATAAATTGTAAAAATATTAATATTTTTGAATTTATTATCGTACGAATTACTACGTATTTTTATTTTCAAATAACTAAGAATAATTTATTTATATTATTAATCAACAGCTGATACTTATAACACGATATGTATAAGCTTTGAACAGTTGTAGCTCAGAGAGCGCCAGTAGTAAAGACAGAAACAGATAAAAAAATATACGACAAAAAATATAATAAACAATTTATAAAATAAGAAAATTATGTAAAAAAAATTCATTAATTTATCATACAAAGAAATAGTCAAATAATTGTTATCAATCATATTACGCGAGATAAAATCCTCTCGACTCCTCCTATTTTGTTTCTTTAACTTTCAATTCGATTTGTTAAAATTTCAGTTAAAGAATTAAAATAATTTATGTGTTTGGTATGGATTAATTTTATATTGCATACAAAAGATATTTTTATTATATGTTTGTGTTTTGCATTCTCGCAAATCAATTTTTATGTCCTTTAAATACGAATCATAAAAATTCTCCGGTTGATCCGAAGAACATCATTCTTTATTAAAGCATATATTATATACGTAAAAAAAAGTTGTCTTCTTGAGACATAAAGGGCATGTATTTTACTTTGTACGCGAGCAGACGGTCGCGATGAATAAGAAATGCAGCAGACGATTACGGTGGAGGAAAAAGAGAGATGAGGAAACGAAACGTGACGAAAACGAGAAGATAGCAGAGGCCGCGGCAACTATTAAATGAGAACTTTTACAGGAGTCGGATCTCACATTAAGTATGCAGTGGAAGTTCGGGGAATACGCTTTCCTTTTTTCTTCTTTTTTTTCGTTAGCTTGTTTTTCCGCTCGACGCATATTCGAGCGACTTGGTCCTCCACGAGGAGAATTGCTCACGCAAGTGCACTTTATCGATACATATTTGATGAAGGAGTCTATAGACCGTACGATTACGACAATTTACGTTACACGGTTCATCAACTATTCCGCCTATAACCGAAAGTTAGCGATTCTAGCTTGCTCATGCGTATTTCGAGACTGTACTAAAATAGAGCTTTAATACTGAACTTGCAAAAACTCTATATTCGATCGATATTAATTCTCGACAAAGAGAGACTGAAGATCCGATTTTTTTTTTTTTTTTTTTTTTTACGTCAGCGTATTTCAATATTTATTTATAGGCCGTCCGAATTTTTCGCCCGAATTTTTTCGTTTGACACTAATGTCAACGCCTATAAATGTCAACGAGTACACGTGTTGGAAAAAAATTCCTGGAATAGACGAAATATTTCGATCTACGTGAACACATCGTTTAATTCCAACGTCGACTTTTTATTCGGGTAAAAGTTTGCGAGTGATGTGCTTTCACCGCTTATTTCCGTCAACCCGCAAGAAGAAAATGCGCGCATAGAGCGTTGGAGAGACTAATGGGCGGTCATTAACAATTGCGTGGTCTATTGTCACAATGGAGAAAATCAAAGGACTTCGAGCTCAGATGAACATGGATAAAAGGGAGCGGCTTCACGCTTTGCCGAAAGCGCGTCTAATATAAAAGTACGCTGATATTTCGCCGCAAAGTTACTTTAACGTCGAACCTAGAGGCACGTTACGTTGATCTCTCGATTTGGGAACACTTAAGTGTATAAGTTATATAGCTTGCGCTTATTAAAGATATATTAAACAGCTTTAATTTCGCAAAAGAGCGAAGACAAATTCTGCTTGATATTTCTCTAAATGAGAATCGCGAACATGGGATTTTTAATCTAAGGCGATTACCGAGATTTATGATCATTTTTGGCGGGAAAATTATCTTGTCGAAAACGCGCACGTGTGTCATCGAGGAAGATGATGATTCAGGCCCAAGTATTTGTGATTGCCACGCTGATAATTTGTGGCGTGTACGCTCGAGCCCCGATAATCGAGAATTTTATCAAAGAAGCAGTGATCAAAAGTACGCCGGATCAATGTTGGCTGAGATCGCGAAAGAATTCATGCAAAGATCGACGACCAGCAGTCAGGTAATCAAAATAATTCAGTGTCATTATGCAATGATGTCAAATATTATGGTCATTTTTTATCAGTGATAAATAATCGATATATCGCAGATATTCATAAAATTTGTCCTCATCCTTTATATCTTGGAAACGGTTCAAAAGGATGAAAAACCACGAAATATGTATTTGATTATTTCGAGGGTTCTTTTAAGGGAGTTGTTTTTTCAAGATGTCTTAGAGGGATCCTAATTCAAAAATTTCAAATGGAACTTTCCATATTATACATCTTTCGAAAAGCATAAAAATTTTTTTGTATAAACCGGAAGTTGATATACGTTGATCCGTTTAGAAATGATTTAGAATCAAAGTTCGAAAAAAGATCAATTTCAAAAAATCGTTATTATTTGAAAAATTATTAAAAAAATTTTTTTCGAAGTATGAAAGTGATCGTCTTTTTAAATCCTTTCCATAAAAAATTTTTATGATTAAACTTGAGATCTTTTTTAGTTTAAATTTAAAAAAACTAAAAGTCAAATCTGAAATTTTTTATAGAAAAGACTTAAAAAAACTTTTTCATATTTCGAGTATTTTTTTAGGATTTTCTAAAATATCGTATATTAAAGTATCGATTTTCTTAAATTGGTCTTTTTTGACCATAAATAATTTCTGGACAAGCCAACATATCTTCTATTTACGCAAAAAAATGTTTTTTTTTATTCCCTCTTAAATGATACCTTAAATGATACTATATTTCCTTAAAGTAATAATATATCCTAATAATATACAATATATCATTAGAGTGTGCTTTATAAAATAAATTAGTTTAAATATATAATATATTATAAAATATATATATTCTGTTCTTTTTTAAACAGAAATTATTCTAGTTATCCATTCATTTTGGCGCTTATAATCGCTAATCTACAATCTACAATCTAAATCTACATAATATACAATTTACAATCTAAATCTATATATCTATAATATAATTTCAAAAACTACTAATGAAATAGTTCACTCACCAATCGATGCACAACAGCGGAGTTAATAAATGACTACGAAGCTACGTTGATCTGTAACATAAAAATAGAATTCGAATTAAAGCAGCATTCAAAATAATTAATATTTCTCAAAATTATCATTATAACCATTAAATTTTATATTTAAAAAAAACATACAACAATTAACAAATATTGATTAATATTAACTTTAAAAATTTTAAAGACCCTTGTTTTAAATATAAACTTTCTTATAAATTTTCATTTAAATTTTTATATGTAAAAAGTATTTTTTCTTATTCTCTCTTATTTAAACCATTCAAATATAGGAATAAAATTAATGTATATTTATAACAAAAGTTTTATACAAATAATATTTACCGCAAGGTTGCTCCGCTGGCGCCTTCTCTCAGATTTCCTAGTCAGGATTTTCAGGTAGAAATCCTAAATTTACACGCGCAATACTTGAAATTTGAACGACACTCCCACACTAAAACGCCCGACACTTTAAACGACACTCCCGCATCAAAAGGCGCGATACTTTACTTTGGACGGTGCTCTCGGACTTAAGTGCGCGATACTTTACAACTTCATATGACACTTCCGCATTTAATTAAGCGCGCGATACTTTACACGACACTCCCGCACTTGAGCGCGTGACATTTTGCATTTCGAATGCATTATAGGGTACCTGTTCAAATTTTGTAAAAAAAGTTCCCTGTAATTCCCTGATTTTGAAAATTCAAATAAACTAAGAAAATTTGTAAATGCAGATTTTTAATATAAGTTTCTTTATTGTATGTGCACATACGATTGTGAAGTTATCAAAAGTGCAATTTTCCTACCATTTAATATTGAATTATTAATTATAAACTTAATTGTGGACAATAATAAAAGGGTACCTGCTCAAATTTTGTAAAAAAAGTCCCTAAATTCGATTAAAAATATAAACTAAGAAATATAAAATAAAAATATAATACTTTAATGTGCAATACGATTGAAAATCAAAAGAAATTTTAATTTAAAAATTATTTATAATTTTGGAAATAATATATGATTATTTATCTAAACGTTAAAAATATATCCAAAATAAAAAATAATAAAAATTAAATATTCTTTACTAAGATTTAATTATTATTTAAAATTATTATTATTATTTATTGATAGTTCTCAATTTTAATTTTAAGTAAAGATATGATGCTATATAATAAAATAAGATTCTCAAAATATTAATTAATTCTAATCTTAGAATGTCTCATTTCGTGCCAAAATAATCATTATGCCGCATCAGATATATGTGCTTAATTATTCTAGAGGTAACGGAACTAATATCTACATACAATCTACACAATCTACATTTTCACACTCTAATCTCTACAAAACCGTTACCTCGTAAAAATAATAATTTGTTACTTATCAATCGATGCACACAGTTTACTGGAACGAACTGCAAGCTATGTTGACCTGTAACATATAAATAGAATAAAAATTATAGTAGTACTCATACAAGATAATTAATTTTTCAAGCAATTATTATTGTATTAAATTTTATTTTTCATACGTCTAATAATAAAAAAATAATTAAATAATTTTATAAATTTTAATTTAATACAATTAACAAATTTTGATTTAATATAATTAATAAATATATAATAATTACTCACTTTAGGATTCCTTTGCCGGCGCCCGATGCCTTTCCTAGGCCTCCTCCTCCTCTCTCAATTTATTGGTGTCGTCAATTGTTGATCTGTAACATAAATAAATAAAACAAAAATTGTAGTTGTGCTCTTGATAATTAGTTTTTCAATTATTATTCGTATTAAATTTTATTTCATTAGATATATAGATTTTATTTAAATTTTGATTTAAGGCAACTAATAAATAAATAATATAAATGATAATAATAATAATATAATATAAGAAATAATATATAATTGTATATATACTTATTTAAAATAATTATACATATATAATTATAAATAATTTTATGTGTGAGTGTAATCTCTGTATATAGATTTTATAGGTTTAAATATTATCTATTTCAATTAAAGAAAAATTTAAAAAGTTGAACTACAATCACATTAAATAATCTTATAGGTGCTCAATTTAAATCTGTCAAATCTGCTGCTTCTTTTGGTGCTCAAAGCAGTTGTATTTGGCGCCGGTTATATAGGACAGCACGGTTACAAAGGACGTGAATTAGAGGAAGGTAATTTCAGCATTCATTAACGTTCATTCGATGGTACTTTAATTGCAATGACAAAAATTTGCTGTACGAGAGAATAATTAACATTTTATTGTGCTTTGTAAAAGTTCAACGGAAATACGCACGTATATGTCATAGTTAAAAATTATATATATAATTGAGATAATCACTTTTCGACTAATTTCAGAAAATATTGTGTCGGAGGGTGAACTCTCGCTAGCTCTGGGATATTTAATTGGCGATACCTGTTTATACAGAGCAGCCTGCGAAGAACCACACATAGCGAGAGAGTATCTCGGTGCGGCAGAAATGCTCTGGCAAGCGACAAAATTGATGCCCCAGTATGTATATTATTCAAATTATTAATAATATATTATTAAAATAATTAAAATAATATATTATTAAAATTAAAATTAATAGCGTATTATTAAAATTATTCAAAAAAGCATTTATAAAAAAACATATTTTAATAAGTTATAGATATTCAATAGTTGATGCACTTTACATTTTATAAAAGCGCAAAAATTATAAAATAACCCAATAACCAATGGAATTTTAATAAACCATAGAAAATCCAGGTCTAAAATTGTGCGGTTATTATATATTTGAATCTTCTCTTTGTAATATTCACATGTGGCTTTTTCTCGCATACAAACAATATATAATCCTGATGCGTGTATGTGTATTTATGATTAATAAAATGGTACCGAAAATTGTGAAAATTTTACATGTTTGATGTACATGACAGTGTGGAAGAATTGTTATTCATAAATTTGGAATTTTTTTTAAATTTATTAATATCTTTTTGTGTGATCGTGGCTTTCGAAATTTTGAATAATTTAAATAAATTTAAAGCCCGGAATTCTAACTAATGCGTTTTTTTAAAAGCACTCTAAAGATTGCTATCAAATTGAAATATCGAATATTAATCATGTAAAATTTGTATATTTACAGAAGCTTACCTGCAGAACCTAACTACGACAGAACGATCGCTGAATTCCGAAAAGCGATTGAGTACGGTAACATCGAGAGATGTCCACCAGAATATACCTGTAAAAAGAAAACATCAATAATTTCTTGCAAAGTGAAAAAAGATAACGCAAAAATTAATGTCATATTTATAAAGGATTTTTTCCGTTTCCTTAAACTAAGTTATATAAAAATCTTACTACACAAATTTAAAGTTTAGTAATAAATAATATAAAATAAATAATATTTTAGAATTATTAGAAAATTTTAGAAATTATGTCTTATTTTGTATCATAACTGTAATGATAATCATCTAATAAACTTAAGATATTTTAGTTTCATACAAACATTCTCATGCGAAAATGGAAATAATATTATTATAATTAATAAAAGAACAGTTTTTAATAAAAATTGTTTTAAAATTGTATTTGGTATTTTTATAATAATAATCTCTTATTCTTCTAGAAAATATGAGATTGGATCAGAAAAGTAATTAAATATCTTCTGCGTGTCCTGTTAATTAATGTCATTCATTCAAGAACATAAAAGAATTCTTTGTTTGATACACATAAATTGCAATTTTTATATTAATATTATAATAAAAGTTTTTAAAAAATTTTTTTAATTTTGCTTAATAAAAATATGCATTTTTTTCATTATTAATTATGTTATTTATTCGACACAATATTTATTGTTAAAAAACTTATATGAATACACGATTATAATTAGGGATATCTTGAATTTTATTATATCCCGGCCTTGCTCGATTGCATCTAATGATCGATAATCGATCTGTCAAATCAATCGATCGAAGCTGAAACTCAAATCATATAAAACTCTTCTGCTTTACTCTATACACCTTTGCTTAAAGAGAAGTATGATCAAATAAAAAATTCGAAATCATTAAATTTTTATTTAAAAAAAGCATTATTTTTCCAATTTTTAATGCAAAATTAATTTGGCCGCTGATTATATTATAGCCTTCATAGACGATATATCGATAGATAAGAATAATAAATAAAAATTGTATCAATATAGCTAATCTAATTCTTATATTTTATAAGGATTATATTCTATTAGAACTATATTTTATAAGAACTATATTAGCGCACAACTTTGCTATATAAAAAATTGTTATATATACAAATTTTTATATATTTATTCACACTATAGAGTATATTTCATATTATTACAGTAATTTTCAACATTAATGCCTGTGTTATTATTCTGTTTTCTTACGATAAAAATTATATAATTATTCTAAACCTATAACTAAATTTAGTATTAATATATTCAGATAATAGTATTTAGACAATTCTTAATTTTTTTTATTTATCTACCAATCTAATACTGTTGCATGTACATTTTGCAATACAAATAATTTTTCATACGTGCCACTGTTGTTGTAAAACAAATTAATTTGAAATCGCAAATCATTATATCATATATATTTAAATATATTTGAATATATAATTTATATAATTTAAAATTACATATATAAATATATATATGTGTGTGTGTATTATTATAAATATTATATATATATAATATAATTTTATAATACACACACACACACACACACACACACACACACGTATATATATATTTATATATGTAATTTTAAATTATATAAATTATATATTCAAGTATATTGAAATATATATGATATAATGATTTGCAATTTCAAATTAATTTGTTTATAATTATGCAAATATATATATATATATATATATATTTGCATAATTATTATTGTCACATATGATTTTATTATTTTTATGATACAAATAAATTGAATTATGTATTTTCAATTAATTATATACATAAAATTAAAGAATTAAAGAATATTGCAGAAAAAATATGGTTACAAACTGGCTAGAAAAAATGACTGTGTCGTACATATCCAGAATTAAAAAACTATTTTGAATTAATTAACACAGAGCTGTAGAAATAACAACGTATTCCATTAAACGAATATCTTATGCGATAATCTCATTTCTTTTACTTTATGTACTAATAATTAATATACATGTACATACTACATACTTACATCCCATCGAAATAATCGCAGTATTTCAAGCAGCCTCAGGCGTGTCGATGATATATATATATTTATTAATCACGTCAAGAGAACAATTGCACCAAAAAACGATACTAACTAGGAATTTACGTAAAGTGAAAAAGCACTCGAGTTATTTTTCACTCCACTCGCAGATCTCTACGATGAGAAATCGTAATAATTAGCCGGAGATCTCCTAATTACTGCGTTTCGTTCGTTCGTATTTACCGCCCAACTCTCTACCAGGCAGCGGCGCTGCACGCGCGCTTCGTCTAATCTACCCTGACAGTCGCGCTGTCACTAGTCTGACTACTTCAAGCCTCAGGCGAGTGCGAGCGCCGATTCTGCCGAGTCGTTTGATTTTTCGCCTATTCACGTCGTGGACGTGTAAACAATTTTTCATATCACAGCTAATAACGTTGCTCTCTGGATATCTTCTGAAAAATGAGTTCTATAGGCACAGGGGTGAGTATGCCGAGTATTATACGAGATACGACTGTAAAGTGTAATGTCATTGTGACTGACGTTGAAATCTAACCTTGATATTTCAGTACGATCTGTCCGCTTCGCAATTTTCGCCAGACGGACGCGTATTTCAAGTGGAATATGCTCAGAAAGCCGTGGAGAATGGAGGGTGAGTGTTATCCTTCAATGGACTCTTACGTAAAATTAATTTAAATAGCACCTGCATATGTGACAATTATTAGTATCTATTTGTGACAATTAATATTATAATAATGTAATGTAGATCTATTTTGTATAAAGTATTTGATTTAAAAAAATGATAGAGTACACATATTTCTGTGGCTTATTTATATTTACATATATATGATGCAAATTTCTGTTGCAGGACGGTTATTGGCTTACGAGGGAAGGATAGTGTAGTGTTCGCTGTAGAAAAGATAGTGACGTCAAAACTTTATGAGCCAGGTGCTAATAAACGGATATTCAATATAGATCAACATGTTGGTATGGCAGTTTCTGGTATAATATCAGATGCGAGACAAATCGCAGAGACTGCAAGATCAGAGGCTGCGAGTTACAAGGCACAGTATGGAGTTGGCATTCCGCTGAAATATTTAAATGAAAGAGTCTCCATGTATATGCACGCGTACACTTTGTATTCTGCTGTACGTCCCTATGGCTGCTCCGTTCTATTCAGCGCTTATGAAACCGATGGTCCAGCATTGTATATGATAGACCCATCAGGAGTATCGTATGGTTATTATGGCTGTGCTGTAGGTAAGCAAAATATTGATAATAACAAAATTGATAAATATAAGAAAAATGTATACTTTGTTGAAATTTATACCATGTACATATCATTTTCTAGGTAAAGCAAAGCAGTCGGCAAAAACAGAAATTGAAAAGTTAAAGTTACCAGAGATGTCATCCAGGGATTTAGTGAAGGAAGCTGCTCGTATTATCTACCTTGTTCATGATGAACTGAAAGATAAACAGTTTGAATTGGAAATGAGTTGGGTTGGCGCCCATACCAATGGAAGACACGAACGTGTACCCAACGATATAAAAACCGAGGCTGAAACGAAGGCACGACAGGCAATGGCAGAAGATTCGGACAGCGATACTGAAGATATGTAAAATAATTTTAGGAATACTGTTACTAAAATTATTTCTGTATTGTAAACTGTAAGATTAAATATTAATACGAATATACATACACCGATTTAAAATTTTAACAGTGAAAGATGAAGTAAATAGTCTTTTGTATAAGAAAATTAATGTTTATATTAAAACGTAAAAAATATCGCTAAAAATATCTTACCTCGATAAATTATAAAATCAAGTCGGTGACATGATAAGCAGATCATTAAAAAGGATTGCTTTTTTTGTGTAGAAAATTTTTTAGATTATTTTAGAATCTAATCTAAATTCTTAGATTATCTAATTCTAATCTAAATTTCTTAGATTATTTTAGGATGATATTGTATCTTAATGTGAGCGAATTTTAAAGAGCTATATATATAAATAGAATTTTATATATATATATCTTCAAAAAGAAAGAGAGAGAGATATATAATGAATTTGCTTTTGTTTCTCCTCTCAAAAAACTAGAAAATTACAAAAAGACAAAGAGGAAGTTAAATTATAGCAAAATTCTTGTTCAAGCAAATCGTTAATGAAAACAGAAATGTGTATGTATATATTTTACACATATAAAGTAAGTCAATTAAATTTATTTCGCTCTTAATAAATCTTAAAAATGTGTTTTTTAGAGAAATGTTTCAAATAAGGAGATTACTTGATTTTTAGAAAAATCTATATAATCAAGTTTGTCCAGTAGAGGCGCTTTTAACATTGTAAGATTTTTTTTTAATAAAATAATATATTTTTTAAAAAATATATAAAAAAAATTAATAGAGAATAAAAGATATTTCATAATTTTTCTTTCGACAATATCGTGATATAAAATATGTAAATATCTTGTAAAATATTCACTTTCCCTAATGTGAATTTATCTTTATATTTTGATATATCCAATAAATCAAATTAATATATAAGGATGCATAATTGCATTTAAAAATGTACAATTACCTCTTACAAGACAATTGCGTGTGCGTAGAATCATAATTCGATTCAATTTATGAAAAATTTAGCAATTTTTAATGGAACAATTTTTAACTTAGCATATTTTAATGGAAGAGTGAATACTTTATAAAATATTACGTATCTTGAATCACATGTCAAAATAAATATCTCAAATTTTTTAAAATTTCTACTTTTTATATGCAGAATGATAAGAACTAAGTAAGAAAAAAAAGATATTTGATTTAAAGAAAAAGGATAATTTGAAATTACGGAATATCTCTTAATTCGAAATAATCTATCTAAAACATTTGTTATAAAACACATTTTAAGATTGATTAAAAAATGCTAATCTAATGACTTATTTTCTCTCCCTTTCTCTCTCTCTCTATATAAAATTAATTTCTTATCTATACATCAAAACGCGCTTAAAATCTACAAAGATATGTGTGTGCATATGTGCATTGTGCATTGGAACGCAATTCCGGACGAACAATATGTGCCTCGATAAAGAAACATTGGCGATCCACATTTTGATCTGCGCGCATGCTCTTCTTTCACGCAGGGGTTGATTGGTCGCCGGTCGAAGAAAGCGCGGCTTGGGCGAGCTTTATATAAGGGTAGTATGACTTTGAAACTCCACCACTGGTTTTGATTATTGCGTCCGGGACGGATTTGCCGTTGTCACATCTCGCTGTCGTCCTCTCGAATTTCTTCTATTTTCCACAAGTGAGGTAGACAAGCCTTCAATTTAGCTCTCGTTATCACCCGAATGTTTCGATTCTCTTTGCATCATAGAGCAAGTGAGGAAATAGCTCTAGCCGGAAAGCCTGTAGGAAAAATGTCTTCGAATCTGAGCATCCTATCCGAGCCTCCGGACGATGTTTTAATCGTCGAGGAACAAGGGACACCTGTCATTTACATCTTTGCGGCTGTCGTGCTCGGTTTCATCGGCTTCTTCGGATTCATCTTGAATCTGCTGGTCATCCTGACGGTTGTCAAGAACGCTAACACGCTGTGGACACCCAACAATGTGATCCTTGTCAATATGGTTGTGAGTATTATTGCCGCATCACTCTGTTGAATTTAATTTGCAAGTAACGATTAAGCGTAGGAATTAGCTTCTCTACCTTTCAAAGTACAACTTTAATGACAATACATTTTTATACATTTGAAAACAACTTATATACAATTGTACATATCACAAAGGGAGATTATACAATAATAATAAATTTAAAAAAAACATAGAATTATAAAATATCCTTAAAAGAAATAGAGAATTAGTAACAGAGATATAGGTACGCATCAGAGAGAAATGTTTTCTTTTACAAATGTATTGGTATTTATCTTTTGTTAAGAAATATAATACAAATATTTGTTTCTCAATATTTTATAAATTATATAAAATATTTTATTAATTCAATTAAACAGTATATTTAATTAATTCAATTAAAAAAATAAATAGTGTAGTTAAATGTTAACAAGAGTGACATAAAACCAGTAAGCACATAAAAGCGAGGCAAAGAAAAGAATCAAATATTAGTTTTGTTTTACTCTATGAGCATTCTCAGATAAAAAAGAGAAAAATCCAATGCTTTAAAAGTTCCGAGAAAGCTTCAATCAATCTGTAATTAATGAAGAAATATATCTCTGCTATTGATTTTTATACAACAATTTATAAAGAAGAGATTATATGGCATTTTAGAAAAGTAACTCTATATATATATATATATATATATATATGTTCGTTCTTTAATTAATTGAAAAATAAATTTTAATTACTTAATTAAATACAACGCATATATATACATTATAGTTTATTTATCAATTAATATATAGAAATTTTAAAAATTTAATTACTTAAAATAGATATATGCATAAATAATTATTGTTATTTCATGTTTACATATAATTAATTAATTATACGATATCACTCAATACTACAAAGACATGTGATATTGAAAATTGCAATGTAAAATTTGAAAACAATACAGAGTGAAATTATGCATTCTATTGTTCCGATCCATCTCGTGAATTAATGAAGCTAGCATGTGCTAATCTAATTAGATGTTTGAAATAGGTAATTTTATCATGGTTACATATTTTCTATGATTACAATATTAAGCAATGCATTATGAGAGAAACCCTATCGTTCAAAACGATTCATGTAACATACAATCATTGCGACAAAATAGAGCATAATAATCTAGCTAGATGATACTACTTATTTTTTGTTCGACGAGCATTTTATAAACTGTTTTGCACGAACATTAAATTCTTCGATTTTTACAAGAAATAAATTTCACTTATTTCAATTATTACAAGAAATAGAAAAATCATACAATTAATTATTCAAAAATACAAAGTGTCTTAAACTCATTTTTTATCTACAAAATTTTTGATCAAATTAGTATTAATTTTTTCTCAATAAAAATACCAGCAAGTCATTTGTCGGACAAATTCTGTAACCAATGACCTGTAAATTGTTCAAGTACATTCGAATATACTTATTGGAATTCAAAATCTTTCCCTACAAGAATTCTATTTCAAAATATTTTCGGATGCATAAATAGTTGAAAAATCTATATGAAAAGTGATAGATGTTGAAAATTGTGATTAAATAAAAAATTTGTAATTGAATAATTTCATCCATGACTCTAATATTTTATAAAAATGACGAAGATAGCCAGTTTATAAAGTAACTAATTTGAAATCATATATATACATATATACATAGAATTGCTAAATACAATGTATTTATATATACATTATAAAATTATGTCGAGATTTTTCATGTTAAGGTATTTCTAAATTATTGTTATAAATAAAGAGAATTGTTAAATACCTCGACATGAAAAATCTCGATATTTGTACAATTTAAATTAGCAACATTATAAAAATTGTCGTGAATAATATTCAAAATTATTTCAATCTGTAAAATGTGGCAGAAAATAAGGAATCATGATATACATCAAAATGTTTTTACTCCGAATTAATTTCAAATTATCATTTTTAATAGCATGATGAAATAAAAATAAATAAAGTTAAAACTGTGATATACTCTCCTCCTCTCCCCCACTCTTTCTGTTTTATATATATAATTTTATTTATAATATTATTAATTATTTACAAATAAGATTTATAAAAATAGAGGAATAAATTTGCTAATAAAAATTTACTTTAATATAAGATAAAATCAAAATAATTATAATATTCACATAAATTGTGCAAACATATTACGATATATTATACGTTCCTAGATAATATTAATTTGATTTTACTTCAATAAAATATGAATATCTCAAACTGTAATTTTTCAAATTAATTTAATAAAAATATCATTATTTTGCAAAATAAAATTTTATGACAATAATTAATGATTTAAAATTTAAAAAATTAGGAAGTTTTGTAAATGTTATAAGTATATATACATACATACAATCTCTTTCATTCACAAATAAATTTAGCAAATTATTTTGAAGAACAAAAAATCTTTTATTATTCTGTTTTTGAAACTTTAAATAATACATTTATTACCCACAAGAGCAATTAAATTTATTACCCGCAAGAATTATTAAACTTAGTATGCAAAACTAATAAAAATGAGTCAGCATTATTAAATTAAAAATATTTAATATAAGTATCTAAGTATACACGCAATACACACATAATCTTTTTAATTTTAATTTTTGTAAAAGTCAAAATAATATGTTGGTTAATCAGTTTTGTTATATGTAATTGTTCTAAAATAATCGCAAATAAATAATATATATGTAAACGATAATTTCTGCAATTTACATTAGAAAAAACATGTTTCCAAATGTCAAGCTACCTTGGAAAATAAAGATAAAAGGATACAGGAGATGCCTTGAATTTATAATGAACAAGTTGTATTTTCTCGCACAACCAAAGAAAATTTTTTCTCAACCTTGTTATAATATATATTGGCAATGAGGGAAAATTTTAAAACTTTATTAACTATACGACGTATAAGTACGCGTGGCATGCATACGAAAATAAATTTTGAATACGTTACGCAGTATACATATTGTATTTTTTTTTAATGCACAACCTATGAACTTTGACTGAAATTTAAATTAGAAGAAAAATATTCTGGGTCTATATAGGTAGGTCTTTTGTAAAATCGAAGCCTTTCTATAAAGCGTCAAATCTTTTGAGATAAATCAGCGTTTTATAAAAAATGTAGTTAAGTTTTTTTAAACGACTCTGAATTTGCAAACCATCTACAACAAAGATGTGCATAATAACGTTGTCGACTTATATAGTTTAACGTAATAAATAATCTTTTTACAAAAAGTTATTCAAAAGCAAAACTTATTCAATTAGCAAAATACGTGTATAACAAACTATTCTACAAAAGGCAAAGGACTATACAAAATCAATGATCCAAATCGAAACATGTTTTTTCCATTAAAAATAAATTGCGTATAAATTATTTTTTCTACAAAATTAAAACTTAAGTTTAATTTAAACTTATGAATTAAAGCTATTGAAATTTAAAAATAACATTTATGTTATCTTTTTATCATCTTTATATCTAATTTAAATTAATTTTTATTTCGAATATATGTAACAAAATTGCATATTACTTCAATTTTATTTGTTCTCCAAAATATGTCCATAAAAGTTATGTATAGTTGTATATAATTTTATACAACTTATTAATTTTACATATTTCTATATAATTTTATATTGTTATATGTATATAATTACACATAAAAAATTTGTTGCTGGAAAGAAAAGTTAGAAAAGATAATTTTAAAACGCATAATCAAGTAATATGTATATTAATCAATAAATATAAATAGCTTTAAGAAAGCAATTTTGATATAATTTTTTACACATTGCAACAGATTGGAGATCTTTCAGTAGCTGCACTGGGAAATCCCATCGCAATGACGTCAGCGATCGCTGGTTCGTGGTATTGGAACCATACAATGTGTCTGGGGTATATATCATTATTTTTATTATTGGAATGAATATATAAGATAATATTTTTTTGTCTATAAAGGCAAAGTGTTTACTCCTCATGAAATATCCTCACTAAAATATTGCCAATAATAATTAAAGGTGAATCTTAATAGAGTGTAAATATCATGCAACGCATTTTGGACGTAACTGCATCAAAGATGATACATATGATATAGGTATATGTGCGTTCATTATATTATATTTATTAATAATAAGTAATCAGTTAAATAGAAATATCCAAACATCACGTGTAACTATGATATTTTCGTGGCTTTAACCTGAATTTTATAGGTAACGTGTACGCACATAATCATTTCATTATAAGCATCTTCTGGATCAAATAATTCACGATTGAAAACTATATATATATATTATGAGAATTTAAGAGAAATATTTTCATTACAAAAGAAAATATGTATCGATTTATTAATATTGAAATGCTTTAAAATATTGAAATGCTTTCTAGAAAAATGTTTCTGAGAAAAGTTGTTTGTCTTTCATATTATTTTAGTAATAGATTATTTCTTTTTTTTTTTTAATAAAATAGATATTATCTCTTACATAAATCTATATTCTTTTCGATTCCGTACACAAAAATATTAAAATGAGATTATTGACAAATGAGTATGAAATATTTCATATATATGCATATATCAAAATTGGAAAGTGTCTTGGTATTAAATGTAAATGTACTAATAATCTGATTATATAACTACACATTTTTTATCGAGCGTAACTGCTATTCAGAATTCTTATATTAATCATACTCTTTCGACTGGAATATCTTAGAAATTATTAAAATAATTAAAAATTTACCAAAGCACATTTGTTAAATAATTATGGATATAATATGAATTAAATTGATAGACTCTCAATCCACAGATTTTGAAATATGAAATATTATAAAAATTTCAAAATTTCTGGTCTTAGATGCACATATGCAGTACAGCTATAAAATAATTTTTTTTCTTTCATTTTTCTGAAAATTCAAACAAGTTATACCTGTACACTTAGATATGCAGTATAAATTTTATTTGTCGCTGAACAGATGTTATCGCATGACTAACAGTTATTTGCGCTAAGTGAAAGAACCAAATCATTCAGTCACAGCTGTTGATCTTTAATGTTTTAGAAATGTCAATCTTTAAAAAAAAAATCCGAGTATGCCAAAAATAGCACATGTGTTAAAATTAAAAATTCCTAAAATTAGATATAAAATAGAAATATTCGTTTTTTTTATATAATCTCACTTTAAAATTGTACTTTTATATGCAGAATAATGATAAGAATTGTTTTATATAAAGAAAAAAATATAAATTAAAAATATATAATTTTATATTTAAGAAATATACCTATAAATAATTTTTAAATTTTGGAAATAGACATTTTTTGTCAAAATGTCGACAATTTTCAAGTTATATATAATTATTAAAACAACATTTCATCAAATTAACATTAATTTATATATAATCTACATTTTAAAAAATATTTCATTCAATAGATTCATACTACACATATAATTATGGCAACCGGATTTCTCATTTTAGATACGCGTGGTTTATGACTACAATGGGATTCGCCAGTATCGGTAATTTAACGATAATGGCAATAGAAAGATTCCTGCTGGTGACATGTCCAATGAAGATATTATCCTTAAGGTAATGAATTATTAATGTATAAATTAACACATGAGATAAACAAATATTTACACATGCTATATATATGTATACACACACACACACACATATATATATTAAGATAAATCAAAATTTAATGTTATGTTCAGACATGAATCAACCTTAGTTATCATTTATCTTGTTAAATTTGTTAAATTGAGAAAAGCAGCAGAGTTGTCAGCGAGAAATAAATTCCTGCTGTCATGTATATATTTAAACTTTCAGATAATAATTTATCCTTTTTTTTCTTATTGAAATGGAATGTTGGGATATGGTACAAACATCAGACGTAGTGAAATGATGATCAATTTGCGCATTCCTCGACTTTCCATCGTATACTTTCATCGCGACGTTCTCCAGGAAGCGCTGTTCATAACTACTCATCATACCTACGAAATGGTCATTAACACCTTCAAGACATAATTTCTGCATAAATTCGCACTGTTTGCGACAAATAATTGCGTCATTCTTCTATTGCTTATTACGCAGAAGTAACGGAATACGGAAATTGTTTATTGGCTGAAAGTAACGAATACGGAAATAATCAAAATAAACGTATCCTAAATATTCTTTTTACGACAAGAGGATGTAAAATTATTTGATAAACAATATTATAGATATAAATTGTTTTAAAATCACGATATGTTTCTGTCAAACACGTTACCAAAGTTTTACGTAACGCGTTTGTTTAATCATTTTAACAAGTACAGTATTATCGTTTTGGTATTATGTGACAGATCCATTATTACATTCGTGCCATCGTAATTAACGATGGATTAAAAATAATCTCCTTGTTATCAATGCTGTACTGCATCTAAAGATGAGTAACCGAGAAAAGGACAAACGAATTTTTAATCCGCTTTAACAATAAATCCGTTATTCCTCTGAGTTAAAAGTTCACTAACGAGAGTTAGGGTTTCTAATCACTCATATACTGCATGTTGGATTATTCCGTCGCAAAAAGAGAGAATTTATATATGATAGATGAGAAATTATATATGTATTCATACAATATTTTTTAATCTATCCTCTGCGCGTTAAAAATTCAGAAATTGAAAAATGTTTTCATATGAATTTCTTCACTTGAAAGTAGATCTCTTGTGATATATTCATCGTTTTAACGAAAAATTCGAACATCGAAATATTTCATATTTTAGTTGTAAAAAATGCAAAAGATATCGAAAATTAATTGCTTTCGAAAATTATTTCACATTATTTTAAAAAGAGAATAAATGTTAAAGTGCGTTTTTGTTAGTCTCTTATATTTTAATTTTAACTTTAACAAAAACTAAATGTTTTTTGTTTTTCAAAAATTTTTGTATTACAAAAGATTTTAATCTAGACAGAAATGAGAAATTATTTGCGAAAAAAAGAGAGAAGCAATTTTGAATCAAACTCGTTTTTAACATTTTACATGAAAATTGTTATTAGCTATGTTTTAGTACAATTGAAAATGAGTAATTGAAAAAATTTGGATAATATTTATTTTATTATATGAATACGATATAATATTTTTAATTATAGAAAAAGTTTTAATTCATTTATTATGTTATAACTAAAACTGACACAATTTATTATTTTTAATAATTTACGTTTTAATAAATAATTAAAATATAAAATGCTTTTTTCTCGCGTTGTTAAATTAATTTATGTTGAAATTTACATTGAAACTTTACATTAAAAAACAAAGTTAATATTATTGTACAAAATGCTTTTTTATGTGAAAAGATTCTTATGTGAAAATAAATGCACTTTGCATTTTATTTTCTGTATCAAAAAATCTTTTTATTTTCTGTATCAAAAAATTAATTCACATATTAATGTGTTATAAATATATATTATATGTTATAATAAAAACAATATTATTGTATCTAGATATATTTGTGAAATTGAATTTGAGTCGCGTTTGACTATACGTATCGAGTTCGATTTTCACATATTTAATAACTTCGGTATTTTAATTATTTTTTTATTATACGATTTTTTAAAATAATTAATAATTTTTTTTTTTTTGTTAAATTTTTCCGTCAAATTGTAAAAGAACATAGCTTTATATATGTATATTATTATTGTTTTTTCAAAATTTAAATACGATCTCACGAAAAATATTTTAATTTCTTCAAGGATCCGCTAAATTTTTGTATTTTATTTTAATTAATATAAATATTTTAATATAAACAAAGTCTTTCAGTAATAATATAATTATAATCATTATGTATTAAATTTATTATTTTATGTAAGCTCTTGTCGCTATCACTGAAAAGAAATGTATTAACTTGACTAACCCTTTCAATTAAATATTATTTTGTTAATTAAACATACAAAAATATTTAAGTTAAATATAATACATTAAATTTAACACAAAATGTATATTTGACTTAAATACTAATATATGTTCAATTAACGAAATAGTGATTTAATTGAAAGGTTTCGTCAAGTTAATAAATCTTTTTGTTTCAGTGTATTTAATATTTACTCATTTGAAAATTCGTCAATTCTTATAGACACGCTTACATATTGGCGCTTTTGGTTTGGATATATGCGCTCTCTTTATCATTACCACCGCTTTTTAATTGGGGCACTTATGGCCCGGAGGCCGGTAACATATCTTGCAGCGTATCTTGGGAAATACATGATTCTGAGACGCATAATGAATCTTATATCGGATTTATATTTATTATTGGCTTTTTCCTTCCTGTCACAATAATTATCAGCAGTTACTACGGCATTATAAGAAGCTTGAAGAGAATGGGAAGAAGGATTGGTAAGTTTCCATTAGACCTTTTTTATAGTAATAAAGCTAGTAATAAAACTGCAATACAAATTAATAATTTAATTCTTTTCTACCTAAAACACGATGTTAAATACGATTTAAAAAAAAAAATTATTCTGCATCTTTAATAATGCAGTTTCAAGTTTATCGCTAATTTCTCTAATTGGATTCACATTTCCTCATTATAGGCCAAAATAACAGACGAGAGAGGAAAATTACAATGATGGTGTACCTAATGATAATTGCTTTCTTAATTGCCTGGTTACCCTATGCCATTCTTGCACTCGCAGTTCAGTATTTCTATGTGAGTATACATGATTTTATATTATGAACACACTCACGTTACACAATTTTTGTATTAATGTATTCATCAGATTTTTATTTAATTTTTATATTTAATAAGAATATTTTCTTATATATTATATATTTTATAATATATATTTTTTTTTATTTAATATATTTAATATATATTTTAATTAAGGATTAATGGTTTTAATTTTTTTTTATTTTTATGAGTTGCATCCTGCATCCCGCGATGCAATCTAATAAATCCGAATAAATCTTGGTTATATACTCGCGCTGAATCTTGAAACTAATCATGAAACAATTAAAATGTTCGAGAAAAATTCATCAATTAAATCAATTATGCCGAATTAGAAATTGACATACTAAGTTTTCTATACAGGGTATTATAAAAGTAGAACAGCAGAATAACTCGAAAAATATGAGTCCTAGAAAAAATGTTAAGTACTGGGTTTTTATGATTTTTCCCTGGCTATCTGACGTTCAAAATGATAAAAACCTAGTTTTTAACATTTTTTCTAGGACTCATATTTTTCTCGAAAAATATGAGTCCTAGAAAAAATGTTAAAAACTAGGTTTTTATCATTTTGAACGTCAGATAGCCAAAAAAAAATCATAAAAACCCAGTACTTAACATTTTTCTCGAAAAATATGAATCCTAGAAAAAATGTTAAAAACTAGGTTTTTATCATTTTAAACGTCAGATAGTCAGGAAAAAATCATAAAAACCCAGTACTTAACATTTTTTCTAGGACTCATATTTTTCGAGTTATTCTGCTGTTCCGGTACTTTTATAACACCTTGTATACTCGTAAAATAAGCAAACTCATAAAATGAGTAAATAGCGCGATAATATTTTTCACAATGTGTACATTCAAATAGCAAAATTATTTTGAGTAATCGCGACGAGGTCGCAAAACATTGCGATCAAGGCGACTGCCTGGCTATAATGAAATTTAATCACCGACACGCCAGTAGCTTCTTAACGCCTCGATTAATTTCTCCCCACGTATGGAGACGATTTTGAAGGATTAGGAAAGCTCATAAAAATGACTCATACATAATATTACAGGTACAAACCTCTCAGGCCGTAGCAGTGTTGCCTGCGCTTCTCGCAAAATCATCCATCTGCTACAACCCCATAATATACGCAAGTTTGAACGTACAGTTTTGTCGCACCTGGAAGAAAATGTTTTCCATCAATACAAATTCAAGAACAGCCAACAATACCACAATAGGAATGACGACAATGAGTAGAATCAAAATGAAGAATTCCAATCGCCCGTTGAAATAAGTCAGCTAGAAAGAAGATAAAACTTCGTACCTTTTGTAATCCGTCAATCCTCAGAGATGGTGCATAGACTGGAAAGATGATGCACGAACGAAGATACGACATGGACCAATGAATGGCTAATGGAAAAATCATTTTCACCGTTCATTCTGTAATTATAAAAGAAAAACAGCCTATTTAAAAAATAGATCCCTATAAGGAAACAGATTTCTTTCATGCAAATATATACTTTTTCGATAATTTTCTGGACGCGCAAAGTTTTACATTCTAATAAATAATTCAGGATTATTTTTTATAAAATAAAAAGTTGTGCATTTACATTAGAATTTATTCGAATTTATTTTGTTTAAAAGATAAAGGAAAATTTCGTGTATATGTATTTTTGTACGTTTTATATTTAAATTAACAGTTTAGAATATTTACAGTATAAATATTATACTGTAAATATTATATACATTAACTTCTCATTTCTAGAAAAATGTTAGCGTAGGTAAATATAACAAATAAAAATATTTACCTTCTTATATTACATTTTTTGTATTTTGAAAAAATTCATTGTTAAAAAAAATATATTAAATTGATCAAAAAATTATCTCGTCTTGCATTTTTTTATAATGTAAAATCAAAATTTTATTGAATATTTAATTATTTAATATTTTATATTCAAGTATCTTTCGTCATCTTCGGGGTGGACAAAAAATATTAGAAACTATATATCTCGGCCAAACAGAACAAAATGCATAATTATTGTCTTCCAAGTTTGAAAACAAAATTGGGCCAAACGTAATAAGAAGACAATCCTTCATATTTTTGTAATTTAATTTTTCAACAATTATGCATAAGTATATGCGTGAAGCGAAGCATAATCGAGATCAAACGGAATCAACTGAAGCAATGTTGAAATTAAACGAGAAAAATTTCTGGAGCAGACATTTGCCCTCTTTGATCAATCCGATACAATGCATTGCCGCGAGCTCTAATGTCATTTGCGTACGCATCTCTGTGCTTATCCTTTGACAGAAACATATCATAAAAGAAGGATTCAAGATACAAAAGATGTTATATTCGTTCGAAGAGCGAAACTTTGAATGTACAAATGTTTCGAACGCTTCCTAGCACAAATCGAATAGTCCAATTTATTATCATTGACTTTGTAAGAGAAGAAACAGAATATGAAATAAAGTGCAAAAATATAGATATAATAAATATATATGTATGTACAACGACACATTAATTGTGCGCCATTAAAAGAAAAAAAAGATCTATATTTTATATATCTTACTGTCATTCAATGATTAATTTTAACTTAAATTGATACTGATCGATATGTAATCAATTATTCTATATAATGTATATGTAATGTATTAAAATATATTTATCTTCAAAAAGTACTGAAGAATTTTCAGCATTTAAAAATTGACAATAATATTGTGGAAGTGAAAAAACCTTTAAAGTGAGGAAAAGTTTTAACATTGATGTTATTTCGTTCCTCGTTTCAACTATTTATATTTCAAAAGAAATATCTCTGTGCAGATAAGTATTTTTTATTAATTTTTTTCTCAATTTTTTGAGTTAATTAAATTGATGTATGTATTTATATTTCAAAAGAAATATCTCTGTGCAGATAAGTATTTTTTATTAATTTTTTTCTCAATTTTTTGAGTTAATTAAATTGATGTATGTACATGCGTTATTTTTCTTTAGTACAGCATTAAAATTTATCATAATTTGCTTGAATTTTTACATGAAAAGAATTTTACTTGCGGTTGAAGTTTATAGTACTTTATTATTCTATCATTTTGTGTATGTATATGTATGTAAATATGCTCGAGTAAATAATGAAAAAGATGCAAACACATATTTTTCAAAAAAATTATAAACATTTATAATTACTTGTAATTATTTATAATTACTTAAATTACTTATTTTTCCACAAGCACACACGATATGCACACATGAAAAAAAAAATAGTTTAATGTTAAAAAATAGATAGCTGAATTTATTTTATCCTAAATTGAAATACCTTTAAACACACACAGTATATCACGAAAATTAAAAAAAATTAATTGAAGTAATTAAATACAAAATTTTAAAAATTGAAAAATTAAAAAAATTAAATTTCAAAAAATTCTGAAATAATAGAAATGAAATACAACAATTAAATAAAAAATGAAATGATATAAGAAATATTGCACGTAAATACGAATACGATTGACACATATAAAAAGAACAAAAAAATAAAAATTAAATAAATATACGAGATCTAACAATAAAACTTGTAAATTTATTACAATATAATTGTTGCACACTTTACTGCTGTAATTTCCTTCAAAGTAGTACCCTTAGGAAGCTGCACATCGTTCTTTTCCACCTTTCAAAGCAATTTTAGAACTTTGTTGTGAAATGACGTTTAGAGCTGTCGTTATTCTTGTGTTACTAATGTTATCAGTGTCATCAAAGAACACCCCTTCCAATGTTTTCTTTAAAAATAAATCTTTAGAAAAAAAAGACTACGTGACAAAGTTTAACAAAGACGGCTCGAACTTTTCGCTTCCAACTTATCTGGATCACACCAGAATTGAATTTTTAGTTCAAAAGCGAAAACAGTATGGGAACACTTTTTCTATTGGATCTGACCCTGTGTGATTATTTTCTTAAAGAACAGTTTCAAAACTGCCTTGAAGAGTGGAAAAGGTGCTGGCGTATACCCGTACAGCACAAAATATTTTCAAAATTTTTTAAGAATATTTTTTAAAAAATAAAATAATTATCGAAAATATTTTTAAAATGTTTCTATGTCCGCTTTTTCATAGAAAATATTTTTGAATATAGATTTAAACTTCAATGTTTCACAAATATGTATTAAATATTTAAGAAAATATTATCTGATAAGCGATAAAGAACATTTTAAAAATATTTTTAAAAGTTTTTTCAAATATTCTAAAAAATCTATTTATCACAAAAAATTGTTAAATTATTAAAAAATTTCTAAAACCATTTGAAAATGTTTTATGCAATATTTTATAGAAATGTTTAGAAATATTTTTTGAAAACATTCATCATATTTTGTGCTGTATGGGATAGCTTCCTAAGGATATTATACTTTGAAGAGAATTACAACAATAGGGCGTGTAGCAATTACATTATAAGTTCACGAACTTCATCATCGACATGTAAGATAATTAAGCATCTGATTTGCTCCCTTGACACAAAAGATACGCAGCATCGAAATGATCCGATAAGATCTTTAATTAACAATCTCTTCAAACAATGAATTTCAGATAGAAAATAAAACAACGATGAGTAACTAATAAATTTAAAAAAATGTAATTCCTTAAGTTATTTCATATCAGCAGGAAAAAACGATTCAAAGGTTAAACAATTTTTTTTAATTAATTTGCTTGTTAATAACCTGCATCTGAATATATATATAACTATGAGTCTGTAAAATAAACGCGATAAAATCTAATTGCCGTGCAAGCTTCGGTTCGGATTGAATTATCTGATAACATACGACGTTTGATCATAAATCATAAGCGATTATTTTATCGATCGCAAATAATACGCGAGAGAAATGTAAAACAAAATATTCATCGCACGCTAATTAGTGTTGACCATGAGAAACGATGCGTACTATCTATGAATGATATAACGAACATTCATCGATTCTTAAGCTGGTGTCAAATATAAATACGCGTTTTATTATACGCATGACAAGTACAATAAATCCCAATATAGCGCGGTGCTTTTATATTTTATAACGCGATGTAAATATTGCAACAGGCTAAATAAATAAAAATTCTAAATTTGTATTTTATATCTAAATTTTACCTTTGATTTTACGGGCTTATATAAAAAAGAAATTATATCAAAAAAAAATAAATAAATAAAAAATTGCATAATTACTTACGTAATGAAGAAATTCTGTCAAGTATTTTTCCGTTTTGTTTTCAAATAAAATAAAAATATTTTTATTACTACAATATATATTAAAAATAATTTTTTCTGTTTCTTTTTTATAACAAAAAAATACACCATATAATAAACAATATACATAATATTTCCTCCACTTAATATAATCCGCAGAGAATTACATAACGTATTCCCCGTATCGCACAGGGATCTATTGTAGCATACATAGTTGACACGTTCGCGAATCTGGCATTGTTTAAGTACGATCGCGCGATTGCGTTACGTCGCGCGGAATCGGGCATTACGATTCGTAACACGCGCAATTATGCCACATCGGAGAAAGTGAAATCGCGAGGAAAATTTACGGTCGCCGCGTTCGTGTCGCTCTCTGCGAGTTCTTCACATTTTCTGGATGGGCTCCCGCTTTAGCGCGAGGTCTGTGTCTCTCGGGGATTGAGAAATCTCTCCTCATTTCACACCGATATTTCTAACTGTTTAAGGTAAAAAATCTGGTCTATCTGATTAAAAAATATTCAAATCACTTAATCAATACGATTCAATTTAAGAAAAAAAATTGTAACTAAGGATGATCTTATATAAAACTTTAATTTATACACTGAGAGAATTTTCTCATAGAATTTACCCTAAAAATCATGGCAATCAAAAAATTTTTTGACAATTAGGTCGTTCATAATAAACCTTGCAATTAATATTTTTAGTGTAGTAAAAAATTTTTTGACAATTGAGTCGTTCATAATAAACCTTGCAATTAATATTTTTAGTGTAGTAAATATTAATTAGAGAAACTCTTATAAAATTCTTCCAATACTATATTGTCCCACGATTGCCATGATTTTTAGGATAAATTCTAAGAAAAAATTCTCTCAGTGTATAAATTAAAGTTTTATATAAGATCATCCTTAGTTACAATAAATATTTTTTGACAGTTGGGTCGTTCATAATAAACCTTGCAATTAATATTTTTAGTGTAATAAATATTAATTAGAGAAACTCTTATAAAATTCTTCCAATACCATGTTGTCCCACGATTACCATGATTTTTAATTGCAAGATTTATTATGAACGACTCAACTGTCAAAAAATTTTTTGACAGTTGAGTCGTTCATAATAAACCTTGCAATTTTATTTCACTGTCGACACGGAAATTATTCTATTATTTAAAGATATTAATATCTTCCACAATAAGATATAAAATATATTCGATTAATTTTAATATACACATATTTACTATGTAAAATTTACTATGTACATATTAATATTTTTATTGTGGTAAATATTAATTAGAGAAATTCTTATCAAATTTCTTATAAAATATCGTATTGTCCGACAATTAAAAAAATAAATAAAAAACACGATTTTCGGGGTAAAATC